GATCCTTAACCAGACACCTTGTATGGAACAAGTTCTCTCTTTGTTCTTGCTCATCAGATTTCGTGATGACACTCAAAGCTCTCATGGCGACTCCCACCATCATTTGTCCTTTAGCGGCTGATTCATACTCTTCCTCTGATGATTCATTCTCAAGTTGTCTTTCCTTAGGCTTCTCATCTTCAGATTCAACTTCCCCATTTGCCATGATGATCATAACCCTCTTGTTGGAGCATTCACTAGCATAATGTCCAATGCCGTGACACTTAAAGCACTTAATGTCTCTTGTCCTTGGTGCAACGTTAGTACTTTTTCCTTTAAGATCCACACTCTCAACCTTGGGCTTGACAAACGGCTTGTAATCTCTTGAAGTTCCAGACTTCACTTCTCGGTGATAGCTAGATTTTTCCGGAACAAAACTCGACTTGGAGCTTCTCCTTTTAAGTTGTTTTTCGAACATAATTGCCTTGTGCATCATTTCCTCTAGCTCCTCATAATTTTGAACCTCCAATTTGTCAGCAATATCTCGGTTTAATCCTCCCATGAATCTAGACATGGCGGCTTCTGGATCTTCTTGAATATCAGCTCTTATCAACAAAGTTTCCATCTCCTTGAAATATTCTTCAACGGTCCTATTGCCTTGTACCAAGTGTCTCAGCCGATGGTGTAGCTCTCTATGATAGTGACTTGGCAAGAATCTTTTCCTCATAAGATGCTTCATCTGATTCCAAGTCTCTACTGGAAAATCTCCTACACGCTTCCTAGTGAGAGTTAGCTGATCCCACCAACTTAGTGCATACCCGGTGAACTCGGTAGGTGCAACTTTGACTTTGTTCTCTTCAGTGTACTCATGACAATTGAAGACGAGTTCCATCTTCTTTTCCCATTCAAGATACTCCTCAGGGTCGTTGCTGCCTTGGAAAGAAGGAATACGAACTTTCACTCCAGCTAGATTATCCCTAGGAATCACTCGCTCATCTCTAGCACTTCTTCTTCGTCGGTGACTACTTGTCTTAGAAGAATGACTGTAGTAGTCGGAGTGATGGCTAGCATCTGCTTGACTTTGCTTATCACGTTCCTTACGTGCTCTTCTCGAATTTTCCTGATCAAGTTTAAAGGCCTCTAACTGCTGAGCCACTAATCTGGCTACCTCGGTTGCGATAGTCTCATTCATTTGCTTTTGGTTGACGCTATTGCTTCCTCTTTCATCTTCTTCCAATGGTGGCGTTACCATCCTGAAAATCAACACAAAAGAACCCCAGTCAAGTGTTCTTTGGAAGAAATCGCAACACAATGGATCAAACAAAGGAATAACTCTTCAACTACCACAAGAACCTACTAGCGACTGTTCAGAGAAATCGACTCGGGAAAAATAACAAAACACATCCAAAAATTCTGATTTCAATTTTAACAGAAACTAGACTCAATCTAGGTTCGAACACAACTGGTTTCACGATTTTTGGATCAGTATTCGATTTTAAACAATTCTAACAACCTGGTGCTCGGAAACAGATAATAACACAGTTTTCTCAAAAACGTTTTGATTGATAATGAAAAGTCACAAACGAAATCTTTTTGATTCAGATCGACACAACCTGCACGAAGCAGCTCTGATACCACCTGATAGACTCCTGATCGTGATGAATGAGTCCTGCCCCTTGATGCTCTTCGTGTGGTTGAATTGATGATGCGGAAGTGATGATTTGGTTTGGTGAATGATCTGAACGATGGGGGTGAAGTGAAACTTCTAAGGATTGCGGATGTTCCTTAGACTTTCGATGCTTAATTCTTCTAGGATATTACACACCAAGAGAAGAATCAAGTTGAATAGATATTACACACTATTCGGATCAAACAACTAGAGAGAGTTTTAGAAATAAGAAGTTTGATGAAAATAGAATGAAGAGTCAAGTACAGAATATAAAGAGAAGGGGGAAGAAGGAGAAGAGTCATTTCGGTCAAGCATAGAATTTAAGAGACATGCCTCGAAAATTCATGCACATAAAGACCAAGTTTGAATAGAAAGAAGATAGAAATAACACTAAGGAAATTCAAATTGAAACAAGAAGAGAAGAGGGCCGAATGATGACAATGGGCTGAGGTAAGAAGTATGTGGCCAAGCCTCGTTAAAAACCTCTCTTGGAAAACCCATTGGGACAAAACCAAGAGGAGGGAAAAAGAGCACAAGTCCACACACCTCCATTGTCATCGCTTAGACGGCTTGAATCACAACCAATGTGGATGGACAAGCTTCACTTCTAAGGCTGGCCTGAATGGTAAGTAGATGGTTGTTGATGACTTTATTGAACTCTTTTGCTCTAGACCTTGTCATGGGACCATTGGGGACGATCAATGCTTCATCATCTTCAGCTCCAAGCTCCACGGGTTCAAGCTGCGGTTTAGTTCCATGCTCCAAGCTCTCCATGCTTTCCATGCTCACATCACTTGGCGTCTGGTGGCTTGAGGAGTGTTATAGAAACCTTCCTCATAGTGTATATTTCGATTTATAGGATCCATATCTTCTGAAATGGAAACAAAATAACCGAAAAATGAAAAATTGCAGAAAAGGGGGTTCTAGAGTCGATTTACCAACTTTTCTCGGGGTTTTGCAGAAAAGAAAAGGCGTGCCTTCCCCGGCAACGGCGCCAAAAACTTGATGTGTGCTGTCGTGTGTTGAGAGGGTGTGTCAAGTTTTACCCTAATTGAAATCAATAGCCGCAAGTGCACAGCTGCTCGATTGTAGTACTTAGGGATTGAATCCACAGGGAAGGAGGATCTTTTCCTGCAAAAAGCCTTTGAAATAAGATTAAAGTAAGGAAGTCTAGAACAAAAACGGTTTAGTGGGGGTTTTGTAGTGTGTTTAAAATGTAAAAACAAAATCTTAAAAGAAAATACGGGAATTGAATTGCGTAATAACTAAACTTAACGAAAATGACTAAAAATGCAAAAAACGGATATTCTAATGCTTAAATGAAAATCTACTAAAAAGGAAAGACAATATTGAACTAAAGCTTGAAGGAAAATCGGTGTAAATCAATGGGAAAGAAAGCGTTGGGGTTCAGGGAAGTTTTCTCAGGGGTACGAACGATTCAAAACATTGCTAAAGAGTAAAATTGATAAGATCTTAGCTTAAACTTTTCGAACTGGAGTCACAGACGTATGAATACGCCACTGTCGTGATCATAGACAACTATCTCTCTCAACCCTGACCAGTAGGTTTCCACTCTGGCCCAGGAAGAGAAGAGATGCATTATGTTTAAGACTCATCCTAATTCACAAATCGCCCATAGGTAGGTTTCCACTCCTATGTTTGTTTTGCTCTCCCAAACTAGATCTGATACCTGATGAACACTTTCGTGTCACCAAACATCTGGATCAGATTGTAGTTCATGACGCTACTCTCATGCAGTAAAAACGAATTCAGAAGAAAAAGTTCTAAGATTCGGCTCAAAAGCTCATGGAATCCTCATCGAACATATAAATCCCCATCGAAAATCCCTTAATCCCAACAATAGAAATACTCAGACATAATAAACGAAATCAAAAGCATAGTATTAAGAAGTAGAATAGAAACCAAAATTGAAAAAGAAAGAACAAGGGTTCAAGAGAACAAATCTCTCTCTCCCTAAAAGCTAAAGAAAAAACAATAAAAATATGAAGTAATAATTCTGTGGTGATGATTGATTATCGATTAGGGCTCCTAAAACATGTATTTAAAGTGCTCTGGACGTCACTTAGGGTTTCTCCAAATGAGGGCATCATTGTGGGCTTCAAAAATGGGCTTTTGGGCTCGGAGGTTGCTGGCCGCGGTCGGGAGTGCTCTGACCGTGGGGAATGAGTGGTTTGCCTCGGTCGGGATGCTCCTGACCGTGGGGAATGAGTGTTTGGCCGCGGGTGGAAGTGCTTGCTGGCTGGTTTACGAGACATCTTGCTCTTCGCGTATCTTTTGATTGAACCGTTGGATTGCCAAGCTGTAAAGTGCACTGGAAAGCTGATACTTCCATCTTTACGGTCTCCAAATTTGTGCTTGATCAGACGGTGAGAAGGCCTTCAATCAGGGGTGAACTTCTGACGGTTTGACTCTGAGCTGAAATCTGGTTTTCTATCCATTTTGTTAAGCTTTTCCCTAAGTTTCCTGAAAAGAGTCTTGGAACTACAAATACTAGAAAAACGTAATAAAAGTACTTAAAAGCAATTAAAAACATAGAAAAAGTATTTCAAAACGATCCATAAAAGTGGTCAAAATACGGTGTTATCAACAGGAACAGCGGTTATCCTTCTACTGGTTTCGCGAGGAGCGGCGGATTCGCCAGGTAGACTTTCAGGTCTTGGAATGCCTTTTCACACCGTTCGTCCCATTCAAATTTCTTATTGCCTCTAAGGGTATCATAAAAAGGCAGACATTTATCGGTCGACCTGGAAACAAAGCGGTTGAGAGCTGCGACGCGTCCCGTCAATCTTTGGACTTCTCGTTTCGTTCTTGGAGATGCCATTTCTATCAGCGCGTTGAATTGCTTCGGATTCGCTTCGATTCCTCGATGAGTTACGAGGTATCCGAGGAACTCTCCAGACGTCACCGCGAATCGACACTTCGCCGGATTCAGCTTCCTGTTATGCAGGTTCAGCCGTTCGAAACAGTCTTGCAAATGCTTCACGTGATCTTTCTCCTCGAGTGACTTAACCAACATGTCATCAATATAAACTTCCATCGTCTTGCCAAGCTGTTCCGCAAACATTTTGTTGACGAGCCTCTGGTAGGTCGCACCCGCATTCTTAAGCGCAAAAGGCATCACCTTGTAGCAATAAATTCCCCGATCAGTTATGAATGCCGTTTTTTCCCCGTCGTCGGGGTTCATGAATATCTGGTTGTAACCCGAGAAAGCGTCCATAAATGTGAGCAGTTTGTTTCCCGCTGTGGCTTCGACTAGTCGATCGATATGAGGTAGCGGGAAACTGTCTTTCGGGCACGCCTTATTGAGGTCGGTAAAATCTACGGACACACACTATTTACCATTCTTCTTCTTCACCACTACGGGATTAGCGAGCCAATCTGGATATTTGGCCTCTGAAATCAAACCCGCCTTTAGGAGTTGCTCTACTTCGTCGTTCACTGCCTTGGCTCGGTCGGGACCTAGCTTTCTCTTCTTCTGTTTCACCGGTTTGAACGTCGGGTCCACGTTGAGCTCATGGCACGCCACATCGATGCTAATTCCCGGCATGACTTCCGCGCTCCATGGAAATGTTCCAACATTCTGTTTTAAGAAGGCGACGTGCTCCGCTTTAATCGCCTCATCGAGTGTTGCTCCGATTTCTACGCACCGCTCCGGATGTAATTCGTCTATGCATACCGAGATCACCGGATCACAGCTCGGCGCGCTCTTCTCCTCACGCGCCTTGCCGATCTGTAATTGCTATAAGAGCTTGGCGAGCTCGTTTGCAGGTTCTCGGTTCGTCTTTAGCTTTTTCCTATTTTCGTCTGCGACCAAGTCTACTACGGGCTTCCTCATCTTATGCTCGGCCAGGAAGCACATTCGTGACTCTTTTTGGTTTCCCCATATCATCTTGATTCCGCCAGGAGTCGGAAACTTGACGCATAAATGATAGGTTGATGGGACGGCCCGCATCGAGTTCAACCACGGCGTTCCCATGATTACATTGTAAATCGCCGGATGATCGGCTATGGAGAACTCCACGACTTTTGTTACTCCTGCTTGCACGGGAAGCCTGATCGTCCCGATCGTCATCGTTATTTCCCCTGAGAATCCTGTTAATGGTTTCGGGACAGCGGTTACTTCGGACAAATCGATTTCCATCCTTCTAAGGGTTTCGCGGAAGATGTCGTCTACCGATCTTCCCGTATCGATTAGGATTCTGGCGACATCGTGGTCTCTAATAGTAAGCTCGATTACGAGGGGATCACTATGTGGCACATCGATTCCTACAGCTTCGTCTTCTGAAAACGAAATTGTGGTAGCAGGATAGCTTAGGGGCTCCGCCCAGTTAACACTTGCATCGGCTCCCCTCTGGAAAGCTTTAATCGAGAATACGGTGTCGAGTCAGTATTGTGATCCACCGATTATCATATTGATCCTTCTTCTGGGGCTATCTCGCGGATCCTCATTATTCGTCCTTCCTCGCTTTTGGGCTTCGCCTCGGTTTGGGGGATTAACTTCGTCACCTTCTCGCTTCTCGTCCTCGGGCTCCTTGGCAGCTTTGGTTTCTTCGTGCTCTCCTGCTGCTCGTTTTGCGGCGATTCTGGTGCCAAGAACCGACAATTTGCCGTTGAGTGCCCGTAGCATTGGTGGTGTTCGCAGAATGCCTTTTCATCGTAAATTCGGGGGTTCCGAGTCCAAGTATTCCATGGTCCTTTGCCTCGTCCTGCTCCCACTTGATAATTGTGGGCTCCTTGCAGCCTCGGCCCTTCGTGGTGCACATAGTCATTACTCCTCACATTTCTTTGACGCGTCGTCAGAGAATTTCGGATCGTCGCTTTTGTCGATTTGTACTGCTCGTCTAGGTTCTTCATCTCTTCTTCATTCACGACAAAGTCGCCAGAGCGATGTAGGGCATCTTGGATCGTGAGCGGCGTGTTCAATGCCATTTCTCTTCGGAACTCGGATTTATACCATAGCGATCTTTTCAGGGCTTCGAGGGCTGCCTTATCGCTCACTCCTTCCACCTTTGACACCACCGCTTTGAACCGAACCATGTAAGTTCTCAATGGCTCATTTGGTCCTTGGGACAAAGTCCATAAATCGGCATAAGAGGAGACAGAAACCGGCATCTCTTTTGTCTTCGCTGAGATTGGGGGCGTTTCTCGAGAAGGCTCGTCCCATTCTGATCCGAAAAGCTGTGATGTGTGCCTTCGGGTCGGTTGTCCCTTCGTAAAATGGGATTCTTATCTTTCCTGGTTCAGGAATCCGAGCTTCAGTGATTCACGCCGTGAATGGCGTCCGCTGCGTTTCTTCCAACATTCGATTTATCTCCGGTGCCGAACTGATTGCATGATGGACTTGTGATCTGACTGCCTTCATCTCGGCGGCTGTCCGAGCTATAGTGGCTCGGAGCTCATTCATCTCCTTCATCTGGTTGTTCTTTCGCGGCTCGTCAACTTTGTCCTCGATACTGCCACCATTTAGAGCGGCTCGACGTGCGCTACCGTGTTGATTCCCTTTTCAAGTCGAGCTATCTTGTTTTATTTGCTCGACCCAGAGTAAGTTTTCCCCTTCTTCCGTCAGGTTTTGATTTCGGAGCGCGACGTCATCTTCTTCGTTCACCCTTGCTCCTTCCAATGCTTCTTCGATTTCGGCTCGGGTAATACGTCCTGAAGCTCGGCTTGGTTGAAGGACGAGTTCCTCTTCCTGGTTGTCTTCGTCATCGACAGTGACGATATCTTCTACGGCCTCACCATCGTTCTACTTGGCGTGCTTTTCGCCGTTCATTCTTCCTCTCCGAGCTAGCAGAGGTGGTTCGGTCGGTGTGGACTTCTTCACCGCGGGTGTCACCAAGTCAGACAGATTTTGCTGCGTCCCTCCGAGCCTGTTTGCGGGAGTCGCGAACTCGAGGGCGGTTGGTCGCAGGCCGAACCTTCGCAGGACATCTCCGGAAGTTCCTGTCACTCCGAGGCGTTGATTCCTGATTTGGTTCTCCGTTGTCAACGGTTTGAGTCTCTCCGCGAAAGAGCTGTTCTGCTTTTCCTGCATGTTAAACTTTTCCATCATTGCTTCGAGCATCTTCTTCACCTCGTCCAAGGGTTCGGCTGTCGCGCCTGCATCTGTCGGAGGAGGATTCTCCTTGCTTCGGGTAGGATCTCCGCCGTTGTTCTGGTCGTATCTCCGTTCGTCTTCGGACATCTTTTCAGATCTCGTTCAAGGAAGTTTTCGGTGTAAGAAAGCTTTATCTCCCCACAGACGGCGCCAAATTGTGTGAGTCGAAACTCGTACAATCAAAATTTGTTAAGGAAAAAGAGGGATCTAAAGCTTCTAAGTGAAAATCTCAAGAACAAAGATCGAAAAGTAGTTTTGTTGCTTAGGGTTTCTGTGATTTCGTAAAAGTTACATAATAAGCGAGTTACATCGACTATTTATACTAAATCTACGAACCACCTAGCCGAGATTCTCGGAATTTTTCCTTTTCTCTTGTGCGGCTGGCAACTTTGATCCTTCCTAGGGTAAAGTCCTCTTGGGCTCGTTTAACGGATCTTCATGGTTACCCGGCTCGGCCCATCAATGCTTCCTACCATTTGGCTTAGCCCAATACATTTTATTTACGGGATTGCTCTTCGACTGAAGTACGCGGGAAAATCTCGGACCGAACTTGACCAGGCTCGGTTCGGTTCTATGCTCTCCCTGGTTTGGTTCGGCCGATCGAGAGCCTCTGGCTCGTTTTAACCGAACCAGCTTTTGGTTCGGCTCGGCCCAATATCGAATCGGGATCGGCTCGGTTTGCTTCTTTGGTTCGATTCCTCCCACCAAAATCGTGGTCTTGAACTTTACGAAACCCGATCCCGACACTTAGTCTTTTTTCGAGCAGTTAAACTCGTGAGGGTGAAAACCGACCCCAACATGAGCTGTGCCCTGCGAACGCCGAGGCGATAGATGCGATGGGGTCCCGTAGTTCGCAGTCTTCCGAGGCATCCTCTTCGGCGAACCCTTCTAATGCTTGCTTAGTAGAAGACGAGGCGTCTGACTCGACGAGTCGTTCTTGTGATCGTTCCGTAAATAATGAGGCGCCTGCTTCTACGAGTTCTTCCCGAGGTCCTGTAAAAGACGAGGCCGCAGACTTTGCTGCGGTGAAAGCTGACGAAGAAATTTTCCCCTTCGATCCAGTCAAAGCAAAGCTGGAACTGGAACGTCTCATGGCGAATGCTTTAACCGCAGGGTTGAAAGAGATTGGGGACCACTTGGTAGCCAATCCGAAGCCTTACTTTGGCTCGGATCTTTCACAATTTTTGTTTTATTTTTCTGACTCACCTTTATTTTCTTTTTCGTATGCAGTTTGGAATCTTCTCCCTCCGATTCCCGACAATCTATTTACCGTTCGAGACGCCTTAGTCACTAGGAAGGTCAACTGGAAGCGTCACTTTTCTCACGAAAGAATAGAGAGAGCCCATTATATCCTAGCTGGATTTTCAGTAAGTTCAGAATCATCAAATTCTTCTAGAGATAGGTGGGACAAGACGGTTATTGTGATACTGAAGGACAAGAAGAGGCGTGAGGCGGAGGAGGCCGCGAGACGGGCCGCCGAGGATGCTAAACGTGGTGATGAGGCAACGGCTCGGGAGGATCCTTCAAACCCCGAAGGGTCTAACGAAGAGATCCGGGCTACCGGTACGAATGCCTCCGAGGAGCGGGTTGCCGATGAGAGGGCTGTTGAAGAAAAGGTTGCTGAGGTTGAGCCGGGAGAAGTCATCCCCGAGGCTTGAAGGAAATTGTTCTCGGCCTCCCCAGTTCAGAGAAGCCTCTTGCTTCTACTCTTAAAGCATGACTATGGTCGCACAAACCGTTGATGGATGACGCGCCCGCCTCAGCATTGTTTTTTTCTCGAGTCAAAAGTTCCAACACCCAACTTCCGCCTCTTGAGAAGTTAAAGAGGGCGAAGTCCTACGCAGCGATGGTTCAGCGCGATATCAAGGTAAAAATTCTCCTGTTCTGTTTCATGCCTGTTTTTTGGCTAAGTGCTAACAAGGATCTTTTTGGTTTTACAGTTCGTGGCGGCCATTAACGAGCTGATGGCCAACTATGAGTCCAACGTATGCAAGGGCGTCGTTTAGATGAGGCGCGCAAAGAGGTAGCAACGGCTAATGGCAAGCTGGAAGAGGCAACGGCTCGGATCCATGATTTAGAAGAGGAAAAGATAACTCTCCGAGCCGATTTCTACAAAGCTGCCTCTACAGCTGCCCGACTCGAGGAAGTTTGGAGGAAAAAGAGCGCCGAGATTGCTTCATTGAAGCGACTGCTAAATATTATTTGCTCTTAGCTAAGGTGAAACAGGCTTGCGAGAAAGTGAGGCGTGAGGTGATGCTCAAGTTCCAGAATTGCCTCTGGATGGTGGAAGAGGCAATCGCCAAGCTCCAGAAAGCTAAGGAAGACGAGAACAACCTCGGGCATATTAAGAGCAATCTTGCTATGATCCTAGAAACCCAACGGTACAACTTTTTGTTGACGAGGCCTATGAATGCATTGCTTCTGAGTTGAGAGGTGAGCTGGTTTTCTCCCCGGTCTCGCCGGATTACGTGGAATCCCGCCTGGGGAATGCGCCGCTTTAGGATGCAGCAGGTAGTCTTGGGATCGCGGATCCCACCGGATCAAACCTTGGCACTCTGGGCTTTTCGAACTTCCTTGCTGAGAGAGAATAGCACACCGAGACCTTATCCTCTCGCATTCTTTGTTTTCATTCGCTCTTGCTCGTGTATTCGGATGATGTTTTTTCTCTCTCTCTTTTTCTTTGACTATCTCTTGAACTTGGTGCCTGGATGGCTTTATCCATGTTATCCTTTTTGACTATTGAACTCAAGTTTATGGCAGACTCACTTGGTATCGATTTTGCTTATTATATTTTTTAAAATTGGCGCCTTGATGGCTTTATCAGGTCTATCTGTTCGACTGCTGATTTGCCTTAGCCATTTGTTGAGATTTATCCATTCTGTTCTTGAGAGAGGCTCTTATTGGGGCGAGCTGTTTTAGCTTATTTTGAGAAAGGATATTTGATCAACGCCGAAGCATTTTTCAAGTAGGTAATATGCTTTTTGGGTCTTGTTCTTTTTGAGAGCCTGATCGTTCATGACGGAGAGTTAGGCTTTGCAGCCAAAGTGTTTAACTTGCCGAAGCGTTAGGCCGGGGTTTCTCATTGTCGAGCCAAAAGGTCAAGAGGTGAGTAAATATGACTATGCACCGGCGTTCCCGAGCTGGTGAGTGTATTTAGCCGGGTTTTGAGAATTCACTTCGGTTTTAGAGAAAGCTATATAGTTTCGACTTATAGTCTCGTGTAGGATAGTGACCTATGGTGACCGATATGTTTTTGGTCTGAAATTTTTGTAGCACGCTTAATTTTAATCCGTAGAGAATGTAACTTGCACCCTCGTCCTAGGAAAGGTGGTAAAAGTCCGTTTAGAGAACTTTGTGTTTGTTTTCCCGCTGTGGTCATCAAAGAGGTAAGGTGAATGCTAACCAATAAAATGTTTGCCGAAGCAATGTTTAAGATTGTGAAAATAAATCATATTGCGAACAAAGTGAAAAACTAGCCGAAATAAAAACAAGTGAATAAAAAGCTAGCTGAAGTGAAAACAAAACTAGAGATAGCTAATTTGACGAGCCAAAAATCTTAAGAAATTGTGTGAGTATACGTGTATACGTACCCACTCTCCTCCCCCCCCCCATCCATTTTTAGGATGGAGGACAGCTGAAACCGTCCGAGGATGGGTGCCTACATACCCTTTTCAGGGATCAAACTTTCCCGTAGTTCATGTTGGTCGTGGTGTGTCCTTAGTGATAATATTTTTTCAAGTGCATGGCGTTCCACGATCTCAAAATTGCTTCGTCAGCCATCGTTGCGAGTTCGTAGACTCCTGGTTGAACCACTTACGTGATCTTGTAGGGTCCTTCCCAATTTCTCCGAGCTTTCCTGTGTTCCTTTTGGCGGTGTTCTGAAATACCATTCTGAAGATGAGATGTCCTTGCTGGAATCTTCGGCTTCGGACGTTCTTGTTGTAGTACTGAGCCGTTGCTTGTTGATAATTCTGAATCTGAATTAGGGCTTGGTCGCGCTTCTCATTAATTAAGTTGA